TTTAGTTTTAAAATTTTGTTGCTATCCAAGAATTGTTGCAGTGCTGAATGAGTTTAAGTATGACTTTATTGTTGATTCATTCATCTCTTTTGGCAGGTCTCATATTGTAAGTATATTGTAGAAGTGAGATATTCTTGTAGTAGTAATTTGTTCTTTGGAGCCCAGACAGAGTTGTAAATATCCTTGTGTTGTTTAGATTTTTTGTATCTTGTTTATGATGAGGTTTTTGTATCTGTGTGATTCTTTTCTATTGCAATCTCTTCGAGCCCATAGTCGGGTACTCCACATTCCTCTTGAACTAATATGTCCTTGAGTATTTCTAGTTTGTTTGTTATAACATATGATGGGAAACTTTGTTCTGTGATGCTTCACTTTTATGGGATGTTTTGTAATTCTATCTCCATGTTATTAATTGTAGTACTGATTTCTACTACAAGTGGTATTGGTTCAGTTTCTATCGAAACTGTTTCAACTTTTAACTGAGTTTTCTTTGTATTGCTTTGGTATATCATTTGGCTTGTGTTGCAATCTAATATTTCCTCTTCCTGTATCTTTGAGTTTTGAGGTTCTCTTTTGTTACTCTGGAAGATATTGCACATATTCCTTCTATAGAAAGGGGTTCGATTTTAATTTTTGTAAGGCCTTCTTGCAACTGCTTTGTTGTCTTGTCTGTTTTTGATGAGTTAATATTGGTGAGGTCTAGTAGAGTTTTTTTTCTCTTCTGTTAGATTTTGTTCTCTTGCTTTTTTGTATTGCGCATGTTCATGGTGTTGTAATATGTTATATATAATTGCAATCAGATAAATTTCACTTGTTTCAAGATATTTTGCTACTTTTTTATCTTCTTCCCAGATAAAATTATTTTGTTTTTCTTGGATTACTACTCTGTCCTCTTCTGCTTTATTGAAAAAATCTTTGTACAAGCTCAGTTCTAGCATCTTACACATGTTGTTTGTTTATTTGTATTCCGTATGTGTTTATTGTTATGTTGGTTGTTTGTCTACTGATGTATGCTTGTTTGTTTATTTGTTTACTATAGATGTGTTTGTTTGTTTTGTTTGTTTGTAATCTGTGAAACTGGGTTAGAGCTAAATTTCTAAAATTTTTTAGAAATTTTTTAATTGTTGTCAAAATTTTAAATTTTTTCCCCAGGTGAGTTCCCAAGGCTGTATAGACAAATCTTGCTTTAAGAGACTTTAGTTATTTTCTTTTGCTCTATTTTTCAGTTTAAGACTGCATCACTTGTTAACTTAGTAAAGTTTTGGTCTATGTTTGGTTTTTCTTTAGCTTCAAGCTTGGTATAGGTGATTAGTAGAAAGAGTTTTTTTGTTTTTTTTAAATATAATATTTTAATTGACTAATACAGTACTTTTTACTATTATCTATTTATATTTTTAACAAAAAATAAGCAAAACAGCTTACCTCTATTAAACAATTAATATTGTTTACTTTTTTCAAATTTGGACAATCTAGTAGACTACAACTATATATTTAGCTTATTAATAGATACAGTGCTACTTTATATAACAAAACTCAATTTAAAAATATCTAGAAATAATATATATAATTTAAAAAAAATTTAGATAATAAAAAGATACTTTATAGTAAAGATATACAATATATTGCAATTGTTATATAATTTCTATTAATCTGACATAGGCTATAACTGTATTTTTTTTTGTTTTTTTTTGTTTTTATTTTATTTTTTGTTTTATAAGTTTTTATTTTTTACTATTTATTGATTTTTGTCAGGTCATACTTTGTTTTTTTATTTATTTATTTTTTTTTTTAATATTAAGGTGACTACTTAGGCCATTGGCATGAGCTTTATTCGGATAGTTACGATATTACATCAG